CGGCTCCTTCCCCACAGGGCCTGCACGAGCATTGGGTGTGAATTTTACAGGTTTTCCTGAGTTCCCTCCCTGCCTATGCCTTTTTCATAGAATCACAGAATCATTTAGGTTGGAAAAGACCCTTAAGATCATCAAGTCCAACCATTAACCTAGCACTGCCAAGTCCACCACTAAGCCATGTGCCTCAGCACCACATCTACAGATCTTTCAAATACCTCCAGGGATGGGGACTGGGCAGCCTGTTCCAGTGCCTGACTACCCTTTCGGTGAAAAAGTTTTTCCTAATATCCAACCTAAACTTCCTGTGGCGCAGCTTGAGGCCGTTTCCTCTTGTCCTATCGCTTGTTACCTGGCAGAAGAGACCGACCCCCACCTCGCTCCAGCCTCCTTTCAGGTAGTTGTACAGAGCAATAAGGTCTCCCCTCAGCCTCCTCTTCTCCAGGCTAAACAACCCCAGCTCCCTCTGCCGCTCCTCATATGACTTGCCCTCATGAATTTATTTACACTGTTCCACAAAAGCAGATGCATTTGTCGCTACACGTGACCCTCTTTCCAGCCTGGTAGTTTTAAGTTTGTGTTGGTATCGGGGCGGTGCTGTTCCATAATACAGGAGCTGTGCCCTTACACATCTGCCTTTCCCCTGTGGCTTTTGTTAAATACCTGTCAGTGCTTTTGCCCACCTACACCCACCATATCCACCAGTGGGATTAAGCTTACTTTCCACATGTGGAGGAAAACTAAAGGATTATCTAGGTAATCTTTTTTTTCCTCAAAAATGAACAGAGAATGCTGGGGAGAGGGGTGATTCTCCTTCCTATGTACCAAAGAAGCTGCATGCCTGAGGGGGTCTAACACCACAGGCGAGCTGCATGGGCAGTGAGTAGCTGGTTGCTTCGGTACTCAGCTAAAAGAGCTGCATCACTTTGTTGAAGGCTCCGAGGTACAGAAATAGTTATGTGGCAGGACACCAAGACTGTACATTTCTGGTGTACTAGTGCTGATCTTGTGTCCACTGGGTGCATAATTGCAGCTGTCAGCTGTCACTGGTTGGGAAATTCAGTTGTATGGCCTTTCAACTCCAAGACTGGGAATGCCCTGAAATGGCAGTCTCTGCTTCCTAGTGAGGTTTTGAAATTTGACCATAGCAAATCACTTCGGTTTTCTGATAGTTTTAAATGAGATTATTTAATTTGTACATTAGTGTGCATACATGCCAGATCTTCTTATTCCATGATCTGGTTATGATCGAGTTTCACTAGTTCCTTTAGAAAGTCAAGGTCTTTTCCAGGAGTGAGATCAGAGGTGAAGTTCAAAGTTCTTCTACTCTCTGACAAAAAAAGGAAAACCTTCTGCAGTATCTGAGTGTATTTTCACTGATACTTTGTTGTCATAGTATTTCTTCTGTATTTGGTTTTGGTAGGCATAATAGACATTGTCAACTCCAAAAAAGACACTTACTTCAATTTTATTGCACTGGGGTGTTATTTATATAGTCTGAGTTGAGATGGATATAAAGAATATGACCCTTTTCCTTTAAGGATTTTTCATTTTGGTTTTTTCTTTACTAATGCTGACAGTTTTGGCTTATGCGTTTTTCCCTAAGTGAGTAATTAAACATTTTGAGGACAATGTGGAGCATGTTTCTTAAAATGGCTTAATTACATTTGACTTTTCTGAGCCATCTGAAGGAAGTTTCTGTCTTACTGAAAAGATAAAACATCTTAAACTTTAGCTTGCAATATGATAAGGAAAAAAAGTCTCCTTTTTTAACTTATGAAATGTGTTAGTGGTCTAATTGTCAGAAAGGAAATATGAAGGCCTACTTGAGAACCATAATATGGTTCGTATCTTGCAGGCATTTTGTCAAAAGAGTTAAACTTAACTGAGACAGATTAGAAACTGAAGTTTGGTTTCCTCTATATGACTTTCATATGACTAGTAATAGAAATGGTAATATTTCTGCACAGCACTTACCATCAATAGGCAGCTTAGAAATGCCAGCCGTAATTAAAATATTTGGATATAAGAAAACACTTTATTAGCATGATTGAGAAAAAAAAAAACCTTAAGTAAGTAGTATTGCTATTTATATACTCTTTTGGTGCAGAAATCTCTTTACAAAAATTATCTCAAAACATAATTACTTTGAAAAAACTTTTAGCAATTACCATAGGTTAAATAAATCTTTTCCTATCGCCTCACAGAATTTTCATTTCTAAATAAATGAATTGAAACTATGCCAATTGAACATTCTAGTAATACAGGATTTTATTAATTAATAAATCAATTGTTTATTTAAGGCTCATTTTAAACTCTGTTTCCTGCCACTGCAATTTTCAGACCAAATTTAATTTTCTGATGAATTATTTTGAAGACGATCAGTTTTGCAACTGCGATGTTCATTTTAAGATTAAAAGATTCAGAATAAAATATTTTATGAAACAGCAGAATGTACTTTATGTGAAACTTTCAAGTGGGTGAATGGCATTCCCTTTCAGCTCAATGGGCATAGGAATGAATGCTGATCCGGTCTGTGCTAACCTACCCGGATTCCTCCTTTGGGCAGGAAGAGGGAAGGGATGGACCCCTCTTTGCTTGGCACTATTGTAACTCCCTCCGACCAGGGAGGAGCAGGAGGGGTTGTTTGTCTGTGCAGGTACAACTCACCTGCTATTTGTGATCGTGAACTGAGACTCTTTCACTGAGGCTCTTTCCCCTATAGGCAGAACCCCTTAGAAATACATGAGCTCAATTTCTCTCAGTGTTTGAGTAGAATATATGCATCTGCCAAGTAGATTTTAAACACATCAAACAGGGTGTTAGCATTTTACGCTTAAATTTAACTCTCTGCAGGATCTTGGGCCTGTTTCAGTGGCATAAATTAATAGTAAAGCTGTTGAATTTAACTCCATCAGATTTTAAAGTCGCCCAATGAATCCTCAAGTAACATAGCTACTTTATATGGCAAATGTACCCTTGAATTCCAGTCTTCAGGAATGTCTCTTTAGGCAGCTGGGAAGCTTGAATCACCCCGACTTGGGGATGAATTACCCTAAACTTCCATGTGTCTGCCAGTGATGTAAAACTGGTTTTCTTCATCTGTCTCACTCTGCAAAAGGAACTGTTGCTCACACCTTGTATTGTGCCTGTAAGAAGTACAAGACAATGGGAAAACAGATCCTATATATTTCTAGTGTATCGGTCTGTTTAAAAAACTTAGTTGGGGGAATTAATCCAGAAATCTCACTTATTTTTCTCAAAAAAATGAGTGAAACAGCTTTTCTCACCACTTCTTAAGTGCAGGTTCAAATTGAAGGGATGGAATAATATATTTAATGACTTTAAAATGCAGTTTAAGCACTTCCCTTGTCCTGTATTAGTTTTTTTTTGCTCTTTCTCTGGGACTTAATGACCTCTTGATACTCTTTTTTTTTTCTATGAAAAGCTTCTTTTTAACCTGATCATATGCACTCTTAAAATAGAGAGTGAGAATTGGAAGATCATTTTTGCTAGAAAGTCCCGCAGGAAGCGCCATTTAAATTCCAGGTGATTAGGAGGAGAGCAAATTAATCCAAATAGGAAACCTGAAAAAAGGCTTGGAAAAAAAAATTAAAAGGCAATGTAGAAAGTGAGGGA